AAAAAAAAAAAAAAACAGAAAACTATCAGAGCCAAATAAAGAAAAATGGAAATGACTGGGGGAAACCACTGACTAACGAGTTCAATGTTCAAGAGAAACTGAAAAACAGTGCTGCTTTTATATAAAAATTATGTGAAATTAAACAGAAATGTTGTAGTTCATAAATGAATGGTGTTTAAGCACTTAAGGAATATAAAATTATCACCTGTTAGAATGTGTAGTAAATGGAATGGACAAAAAATATGAGTGACAGATAAAATCAATTAAAAAAAATTTTTTAAAGATCTTAATCTGAATTTTATTAAAGTTGATTAAGACTATTAGTAAAAGAAAGCAGGCCAGGCACAATGGCTTACTCCTATAATCCCAGCACTCTGGGAGGTCAAGGCAGGAGGATCACTTGAGCCCAGGAGTTTGAGATGAGCCTGGGCAACATAGTGCGAGACCATCTCTAAAAAAATTAAGAAGTAAAAAAAAAATTCGCTGGTCATGATGACACACACCTGTTGGGAGGCTAAGGCAAGAGGATTACGTAAACCCAGGAAGATGAGGCTGCAGTGAGCCATGATTGTGCCACTGCACTCCATCTTGTGTGACAAAGAGAGATCCTATTCCCCACTCCCAATCAGCCCCTTGCAAAAAAGGCAGGTGTGATAGCTCATGCCTGTAATCCCAGCACTTTGGGAAGCTGAGATGGGAGGATTGCTTGAGCCCAGGAGTTTAAGACCAGCTAGGCAACACAGTAAAACGTTGTCTCTACAAAAAGTGCAAAAATTAGCCGAGCATGGTGCCATACATCCACACACCTGTAATACCAGCTACTCAGGAGGCGAACACAGGATGATCACTTGAGCCTAGAGGTCAAGACTGTAATGAGCCATGATTGTGCTACTGCACTCCAGCTTAAGTGACAGAGTGAGACTCTGCCTTTAAAAAAAAAAAAAAAAATTGATATTAAGTAATAAGTGGCTATTTGCCTAGTAGCTTCCTAAGATCAACTGGTATAAAATGAAATTTATTTTCCAACCTATCCCTAAGCCCTTGGAATTTCAGTTTTAATAGCTAGAATAGTTACACAAACCCAGTAAAAAGTTGTTTAAAAACAGTAAGAATGTATACATTTCCCCTACTAAAATTTATTTCTAGTAGTTTCAAAATAAAATCATAAAGTTCTCTCAAAGCCAAGCAAAAACATTATTTGGTACAAAGTAGCAAGCTCGCTGCATTAGAAGAAAAGGCCATTTCTTCACATATTTGAATACAGCATCAACACATAGTTCCACATGAAATTATATTTCAAAGAATTTTTTTCGCATGTAAAATTTTAAACATCTAAAACAAAAGGAAAGGATTTATTTTCAAAGGTTGACTTTCTGTAGAAACTCTCAGACACATAATAGTTGCTAAATGTCTTACATTCTTATTTCTATGACGTATGGACTCAATCTACATTCAAATTTGGTTCTGCTCTTTGGCAGCCTAAAATGCCGTCAGGGAATCTAGCTGGCTCCAAAATATCCAGTTTTTTAATTGAAGAGATACTTCTAGTTCACTTATTAAATGCTGTGCTCCTAAGCCCTAACATAGTTGGCATTTATAAGTGGTATTTATTTAGAGTAACAGTGAAAAGTCAGGACTAAAGGACAGAGATCATTTACTGCAAACATAAGAATTTCAAGAGAACAGTTTGGATCTTAATACAACTTTATTCTGCAGTTACTCTGCAGTTTGTTTACTTTTATTTCATTAAATTTCAACTTAACATTTAGGCAATGAAAAAACTGACTCCTAAAAACATTTCTCTCTAATTAAAGATCAGTTTGTTATTCATCAGGTTACTTCCAGATATGAATTAGATTAACAATAAGACTCGAGAAACTACAGTTAGCCTGGAATCTCACTGCATGATTCATTCATCTATACCTAAGAGGAATCTGTTTCTTTCACTCAAGTTAGTATCTTAACTTTTCCCATTTACAGACAAATTCTAGAACACTTTAGGAAGTATCTGTTGAATAAAGACTGTCCATATGCTCTTGTTCAATGCGGAAATTCTGATAAGCCCTTTCAAAGCAGATCTTTTAAAATAAAACTCTTCTATCGTTCAATTATTTTTTGGCACAGTGTTGCAGCCAAACTTGAAATACTATGTAGCCAAAGTAATGTTCAGTAGGATGAAGATAAATATATTTGAGCACTTAAAAATATTAAATACCATAGTAACAAGATTTCCAAACCATTGATGGGCGAGTTCATGTCCCACAACCAGAGCAACCCACTGGCGTGATGAAGAACAGGAATTTTTTGGATCAATAAGCAATGCAGTCTCCCTGTGTTTAAAAAAAGAAAAAATAAATAAATTTAAACAATAAAAGTGGGCATGCATAAGTTGGAGAGATTCAGACAATAAATGAGATGGTCAAGTTAGGCTTTAGAGATATTAGGAAAACACTTCCTAATATGGATAGAAAAAGTTACAGAAAGATTAAAGACTACCCCAGTAGAATTCACACAACAGAATATCAAAGATGTGACACAAGTTTCGTTATCAGTTTGTTGATAGGATTAGCTGTCTCAAATTCTGGGAAAACACTGTCTAAGGGATTAGGGATTACTGTGCCAGATGAAGAGAAAAGGAAGTCCTTCCATTAAATGAGGGGAGTGATGGAGGAAGATGAATTCCACAGTCCCAAAAACAACATTGAGCTGGCTGTCTAAAACTTAGCTCATTTAAGAAGGCAATTGAAAGTGAAAGGCAAAAACTTGTTTACAAACAGACTCTGCTTTTGAAAGTTATACAACTCACATATTTATGTTGTAGTGACAGACATGTAAAAACTTGGCTAGCAGATATGAAATCAGGGATGGTTCTTCAAGCTGGATAAATAACTATGAAACTACTGGGAGGAAAGAAAGGCACTGCAATGAGAAACTGAGCCAAGAATATATCTAAAAATGCTACTAATGCCAGATGCTCACTTTAAAATCTTACACCCTCAGATAGTAGCACCAAAGGGAGGGGAGTCCATCTGCATTCTTGAAATGTGTGTCGAAGTGGGGGAAGGTAGAAAAATTTACACCAGATCATAAAGCAGAAGCTACTCAACTGTGATTAGGAAGGTGACCCTTATGAAATCAGTGATTGAAAAGATAAGGTAGGGTAATACATCATTAACATACCTATAAGTAACAAGGCCCCAGTTCTCCATGGCACCTTCATAAAATAAATACAAACATTTATTGATATATATACATACTCTTTCACCAAAAGTCACAAAATTTTAAAAAGTTATTACAATTCAGCAATAAAATGAAATTTACTTTACCAGCTGCAAAGTCTGCAATAGCAATGAGATCAATTTTAGGTAGAGGATAAGGAACATTGAAGTAGTCCTTATAAAAAGGCAAGGTTTTAGCAGCAACCTATAAAAGTATAAACAAAATAACCATCTAATAAGTATTTTATTATAATTCATACTGAAACCCATAAAGGAATCCTGTTGTAAGCCAATGTATCATAAATTACTAGAAATTAATAACGGGGAGCCCTACCTCCGAAGACTGCCTTAGCTCCAAACTTTGAATACAATGGCCAAACTTTAATCCATTTGTAACTTGATATGTAAATATATAATTACATATTTTCCCACCCATTCCCTAGAGAAATTTCACTCTTACATTCTCTTAATTACTATTTTGTAAAATAACAAAACACCAAGATTGGCATTTCCAAAATTCTATTAAAAATAACCAAGTAGCACAACTTTCAGATTAAATTATAAATAACTGTACTAATAATTGATCAGAAATGTAAATTCCCCAACCTGGAGTTATGGACTGTTGGAACAATCCTCTTCAAGTACATTTACCTCTAATGCAAATTTTCCTTGCTCTGCTTTGCCAACAGGAGTGTAAACACGGACACATACACCATCTTTTGACCTTGTTTCTACAAAGTCATATTCACCCACAACAAATGCCACCAGATATGTAGACATAACAGGTGTGCGGGCAAACTTCACTTCCACTAAATTTTCATCATCAGGGTATGGTTTCCGGTCAATTACATTCTTTAAGGAAAAAAAAAAAGAAAAATTTAAATAGGTTTACATTAATACTGTAGAGCAAATACCAGCCAAAAACTGTAGGCTTTATTGCATCTCTTTCCCCCTTTCTAGCATGGCTTATGTCTCTGCCACAATTCATCCAGTGCTTTTATGCTGTCTTTAAGAAGGAAAGTGGTCTGATAAATAAAACACTCATACTAAGAAGCTGAAGGGCTGGGCACAGTGGCTATGCCTGCACTGTGGGAGGCTGAGGTGGGCGGATCACAAGGTCAAGAGATTGAGACCATCTTGGCCAACATGGTAAACCCCACCTCTACTAAAAATACAAAAATTAGCCTGGCATGGTGGCACACGGGGTTCCAGCTACTTGTAATGCTGAGGCAGGAGAATCGCTTGAACCCAGGAGGCGCAGTTGCAATGAGCCAAGATCACACCACTGCACTACGGCCTGGCGACAGAGTGAGATTCCATCTCAAAAAAAAAAAAAAAAAAAAAAAGAAGAAGTTGGAGGCTGAAGTGTTATAACTACCAAGGACCTGTGAGAGAAAAGAGAAATGGACTTTTCTTGAATACTTACTATAAGTCAGGCATTGGGATGATTTAAGTAAAGGCTTATACTTTTCAACTGACATTAAGTTTAGAAGAAAATGACTATTAATAAAAATAAAATATAGTGTAGAATCTTCCATTTCAAAGGATACAAACTTCTAGGTCTAGGGCTTTCTCTACCAAAGTTGGCTCTAATCTTATTATTATTTTTTTTTTTTCGGAGACAGAGTCTCACTCTGTTGCCAGGTGCTAGGCTGGAGTGCAGTGGCACAATCTCGGCTCACTGCAGCCTCCGCCTCCCGGGTTCAAGCAATTCTCCTGCCTCAGCCTCCCGAGTAGCTGGGACTACAGGCGCACGCCACTGCGCCCAGCTAGTTTTTGTATTTTTAGTAGAGACAGAGTTTCACCATGTTGACCAAGATGGTCTCGATCTCCTGACCTCGTGATCCGCCCGCCTCAGCCTCCCAAAGTGCTGGGATTACAGGCTTGAGCCACCGCGCCCGGCCGGCTCTAATCTTATTTGTGAAGAAATTTCAACTTTACCTTTAGAGTCCCTAATTTCCCTTTGGTGCTCTCCCTCTTTTTCCTATTCAAGCTCTGTTTCCTCAACCTCTCTCTATTCTTCCTTCTAAGGAAGACTTATTCAAAAACAGACTGATAAATTCGCTAAAGTGTGAATGAATATTTCAGTTTAATATATTAGCCTCCTCTCTAACAATATGTGAGAAGGGAATGACATTCTATTTACAGGATTCTCTTCACCAACAAGAAGGCAAAAGCCAGTTATTTTCAGGTGCAGTAGGTTTTTCCAAGTTCCCCACACAAGACAGTCCTAGACAATACACTTCAAGTGGGGGATGCTTACTCTGTTTATGAATGAGATCAATAACGCTGGTGAAGAGAACACATTCCAAGAATACAAACAGCCAGAAACCTAAATATACTTCATTATGCAGCTGTATCTTTTGAATTTTATTTTTTTTTTTGAGACGGAGTTTTACTCATGTTACCCAGGCTGGAGTGCAATGGCGCGATCTCGGCTCACCGCAACCTCTGCCTCCTAGGTTCAGGCAATTCTCCTGCCTCAGCCTCCTGAGTAGCTGGGATTACAGGCACGCACCACCATGTCCAGCTAATAGCTTTTGAATTTTTAAAATTTTTCTTAAAAAATAGAGACAGGGTCATGCTCTGTTGTAACTTTTTGTGTGTGTGTGTGAGACAGAGTCTCACTTAGTCACCCAGGCCGGAGTGCAGTGGCGCAATCTCAGCTCACTGCAGCCTCCATCTCCCAAGTTCAAGCAATTCTCCTGCCTCAGCCTCCCAAGTAGCTGGGATTACAGGTGCCTGCCACCGTATCTCGCTAATTTTTAAGTTAGTAGAGATGGGGTTTTACTATGTTGGCCAGGCTGGTCTCAAACTCCTAGCCTCAAATAATCCACCTGCCTCAGCCTCCCAAAGTGCTGAATTATAGGCATGAGCCACCATGCCTGGCCTATTTTTTTTAAGAGATGCGGTCTTGCTCTGTCACCCAGGCTGGAATATAGTGACACAATCATGGCTCACTGCACCCTTGAACTCCTAGGTTTGAGAGACCCTCCCACATTAGCCTCCTAAGTAGCTAGGATTACAGGCAAGTGCCACTATACCTGGGGTTTTTTTTCCTTAATTTATTTTTGGATGCCACTACATAGACGGCTAATTTTTAAGTTTTAAATTTTTATAGAAATGACGTCTATGTTGCCCAAGCTGGTGTCAAACTCCCAGCCTCAAGCAATCCTCCTGCCTGGTCCTCCCAAAGCACTGAGATTACAGGCAAGAGTCACTGTGCCTGGCTTTCTTTTGACATTTAATAAGTCAAGACCTTTTTCTTTTTATCTTTTTTTTTTTGGAGATAGGGTCTGGCTCTGTCACTCAGGCTGGAATGCAGTGGTGTGTTCTTGGCTCACTACAACCTCTGCTTCCTGGGTTCAAGTGGTCCTCTCACCTCAGTCTCCAAAGTGGCTGGGACTATAGGTCTGCACTACCACACTCAGATAATTTTTGTATTTTTAGTAAAGATGGTTTTCACCATGTTGGCCAGGCTGGTCTTCAACTCCTGACCTCAAGTGATCTGCTCACCGTGGCTTCCCAAAGTGCTGGGATGACAGGTGTTAAGCCACCACATCTAGTCCAAGACCTTTTTCTTTTAGGTACTATAAATCTATTAAACTTGTCACTTATGTCACTTATTTACCTCTCTAAATTAAAAGAATTGGATAATCTTATAAATATATTTAACAAGGAATATGGCAAGGAGGAAAATCCTCCAAAAATAAGGCTATCAAGATAAAGAGGTCTTGGCTGGGCACAGTGGCTCATGCCTATAATCCCAGCACTTTGGGAGGCTGAGGCAGGAAGACAGCTTGAGCCCAGGAGTTTTAGACCAGCCTGGGCAGCACAGTGAGACCCCAACTCTACAAGAAAAAGAAAGAAAAGAAAAGAAAAGAAAAGAAAAGAAAAGAAAAGAAAAGAAAAGAAAAGAAAAGAAAAGAAAAGAAAAGAAAAGAAAAGAAAAGAAAAGAAGAAAAAAAAAAAAAAGAAAAGAAAAAAAAAGAAAAGAAGAGAAAAGAAAAGAAAGAGAAAGAGAAAGAAAGAGAGAGAGAGAGAGAGAGAGAGGGCTTATTGAAAATAAAGAAAACTAGTATTATGTTCCTATAATATACCAAGCACTGTGGTAGGTGGTTTCATGTTATCCCATCTAATCAGCAAACTAAATCTGCTAAAGCCTATTAAAAATTTAGATAGACTTATAAACACATACATACCATGTTTGATAAAGCTACTCTGTCTTTAGGAACAACCAATGAGATATCAAAAGTTGCTTTTATAGCAGGCTCATCCCAGCAAGGAAAAGCCCTCCGGGCATCAGTAGCCTGAAGAAAAGAATATGAAATATAAATACCTTAGAATTAACCTAACAAGTTATTTCATAAAGCAGTCACCATTTCTCTGTCATTCATTCATTCCCTTGTTCAAATATTTACTTTCTCTTCAGTGCCAGGCAACAAGCTAGGCATTAACTAGAAAGAAAATACAACACTTGCTACCACTGCCATTCCAGCAATTATCCAGGAACTGGGTCTGCTATGGATTTTAACAATATATTATAATTATTTATAACTAAATTTTTGTTTCTAATAAAACATTTTAACATTTTGAATTTAATGTAAATGCCTTCATCAATGATGTTAACACAACAAAGAGCACACAGCAGTAAAGAATATGCTATAAGAATTCAAAATTGGGAAAACATGGTAAGTTGCCTCTCTGGCTCTTATTTTTAAATTAAAAATAAAAGTATTCTCAATATTTGACATGCTTTGTTCTTTATCTGGAATGGCAGCAATGGGACTAAAGACAGGCTCTATCAATTCAAAACAGGTCATATATTTAATGGCATTTCCATATGCTACACATAAAACTGTCGCCACTTGACCTACTTAAGAGAGTCCTCATTCTTTCATTAAAAATTTAAAAAGATCAAACTTATTATGAAAGCAAAATAAAACTTAGAGGTTCTGCAGGGTAAAACAAATTAGAAGTAAATTGGATAAAAAAATTTCAGGTTATCCCAAACAAGCAAACAATATAGGGATATGGTCAGAAACATAAGAATGGGTATCATGAATTGGTTCATTATCCATACTGAAATTTATAGAAATAAAATTAATTAGATTTAACACTTAAAAGTACAAGTAGCAGATTCAAAACAATTTATATAACTTGTAAATACTTAATAAATAAAAATCATCCTGGCCTACATAGGACAGCAAATATGTGTGTATACACACACACACACACACACACACGTATATATATATATTTATATACATACGAAGAAAAAAGAAAAAATCAAAGACAGCATAGATACTACAGTAAGATAAACAAAAGATGTCAAAGAAGCAAAGTAATGCTAGAAAACAGCTAATAATGCTAATGCTATGGGAAAAGCCGCAGATGTCAAATACTAAGAAAACGATTTTAATCAATAAAGGTATACAGTATACAGGCAATTCAGGTATCAAAATATGTGTGTGTGTGTGTGTGTGTGTGTGTGTGTGTGTGTGCGCGCGCGTGCACGTGTGTGTCTAACTGTACGTAATCATTCTCCAACCTATACCCTTAATTTCCTCCTTTCTATAGAGATAATGGCTAAATATAAAATAAAAATTCTAAAATCATGAATATAATCATGGCCAAGAACACCTAGCCTCAAATAATCACCCCACAAAATAAAACGCAGCTTTATCAGAATGCCTAATTTAAGAATCATAATATTTTAGAGAAGAATATCCATACCTCAAACTGTGTAACAGCAGCATAGCGCACCTCTCCAGATGGGGTAGTATATTTACTTCTATAGAAACCTTTCATTTTGTCATTCAGCTCTCCAACAAAATCTATCTTTAAGGTTCCCGTACCTGTGATCGAAGATAATTAAAAAACACTTTTATGGAGATGTTAAATACAGTTACCAAAAAACATGTCCTCAAGACACTATAAGTTGGCTATTCACAATGTTCAAGTCATTCCTTCCTTTCTCAAATATTCCTCCTGGCAATGGAGAGAATACAGTACTTACTAAAGTAAAAGAGAGACTAATCTTAAAACAACTCTTGAAAGCCATGTTTAGGGTGGCTGCCTAGAAAGTTATTAACTTAGTCTCAAACTACCAATATATGAAAATGAAAACAGGAAAAGAAACATTTATTCTTAAATGCCTGACATGTGCTATTGTGCATAATGCTTTTAAAATATATATAACTATTTATAAACCTGGAAGTAGATATTGTCCCCATTTTTTCAGATGAGGAAACTGAGGCTGAGAAGCTAAATAACTTCCCCAAAGTCATAAAATTAGTAAGTAGTGAGAATGAGATAAAATGTTTAAGTCTAGAATTCATGCTCTCTGCCAATCATACATGTGAATTGGTCCTTTTACACAACTTCATGCATAGAAAGAGAAACGTAGCCAATTACTCTATCATCAAAACAAGACACTAAATGTTTACTCCAAATGGAACACTGATTACAAAATTTTGTATGCAACTCTGGAGAAGACCAATGATTTGCTCAGCAACAGGGCATAAAACAAATTCTTACAAGTCACCTCAATCATTTGAAATCTGATAAAGAAATACATTAATAAATTATTAAATGCAAATAAAAATACAACTTAAATATGTATTCTACTGTTGTGTAAGAGCAAAAACAATTTAGACAAAAAATGTAAGCTTTTTTAATTTATATACTTTCTTTTTATAACATAAAAAGATTATTCTTATTATCTAGTAATCATCTGGTAAATATAGATGCATGGCAAAACAGTAATCTAGCATTCTGTGTTTTACAAATCAAGTCAGGAAAAAACGTGGAGAAATATTGACTTTTTAATTGATCCTTTTAAAGATCCTACTTATATCAAGATTTAGAGCATGGGAATCTAACAAATCAAAGATATGGCATGACTATAAAGTAATTAGCCAATCATACCAAACTTTTATATCTTAATGTTTCAGATTGTCATTCTGGATTGCTGAAGAGCAATGACATTTGAAGTTGTTCAAAATGTTGTGACTTTCTCTCTGACATTGTTTTTTTGTTCATTTGTTTTGTTTTTGGCACAGACGCTCACTCTGTCACCCAGGCTGGAGTACAGTGGTGTGATCTCAGCTCACTGCAGCCTCCGCCTCCCGGGTTCAAGCAAGTCTTGTGCCTCAGCCTCCCGAGTAGCTGGGACTATAGGCGTGCACCACCACGCCTGGCTAACTTTTGTATTTTCAGTAAAGACAGGGTTTCGCCATGTAGGCCAGCTGGTCTCAAAACTCCTGACCTAAAATGATCTGCCCACCTCGGCCTCCCAAAGTACTGGGATTACAGGCATGAGCCACCGTGCCCGGCCCCTCTGACATTCTTTTGAATGATTTCAAAGTCAAATCTTCATCTTATAAAACTGAATTTGCTTTTTGGAAAGGACCAAAAGTTATGAGGAGTGTGAGTCTACAGAATAAGTGAATGACAAACTACCAACTAGTTTAGCCTGATGCCTCAAACTGGTTCTGAAAGTAATTTAAGTGAAAATTTCAGACCTTTAGAGCAAAGTCATCACCAAAGTGCTATATGCTTAATCATTCTGAGAAAAAAACCAACTCGACTGAAGCTTAATTGAATTGACATTTGTGATGGTTATTTTTTTTAAATCAGATATTTGTGAATATCTAAAGAGGACAATAAATACTTTTTTCTTTAAAGAGAATGACAGGTTACTGGGACAGCATATATGAATTTACTAAAATAATCAATAATTCTAAATGATACTAAAAAATTAAACTAAATAACACAAAATTAAATTTCAAATTTCATTTTCTTTAGAAATTCACTTAATTTTTTTTAAAAAGCAAATGTATTCACATTAATGAAGTTTGCACAGAAGGTCTAACAGGTTATAAAAACCTACTACCTTTAACGGAAACTGTATGATGGAATTTTATGTTACAATTCCATAAGTGGAATTGGCCAGTCTGTTTCACTATGTCAATCAACTGTTAAGATTTTTTTAAATATATTTCATATTTCATGGTAAATCTACTTGCAAGTTTTCCTACTTGGAATAAAAGTGTATTTAAAACTCATAACTAAATAAGAAAGGCTGCTTACACTTTTACTCGGTTTTAAATCTCCAAGGCCATCAAACCATAACAAGATATTGACAGTGACCACTTCCAAAAAGTGGCATACTAAACAAAATACAAAGTATTGGAAAGAGTTATTACCTGAAATTCAAACAAAACACAAGTTAAAGTATTTAAAAATCATTAATAAATTTAATTAGTGTCACATTATATGATACCAATTACAAAGTATTTACTTACTATTCATAAAGTGGAATTTTAGGGCAAGTAGGAGAAAAATGACTTTTTAATAAATTTCATTTATCAAATTTACAGCATATTAATTGATCGCCAAATTGTCTAATTTTATACCTATCAACACACATAATTTATACTACTTCCTCAAATTAGATACCTTATTTCATATCCAATGTATGAAATATTTATCTGTTTGGGGTTATAAACCATTTGAAACATACATCAGGCCGGGCGCAGTGGCTCACACCTGTAATCCCAGCACTTTGGGAGGCCGAGGCGGGTGGATCACGAGGTCAAGAGATCGAGACCATCCTGGTCAACACGGTGAAACCCCGTCTCTACTA